GCTCAGATTATTTCATCCTCTGTTTAAGAAATTAAAAGAAACCTTCTGTGCAACTGATCGTGCTGGTAGAGCTCTGGATTTGAAGAATTACAGTTGTGTGATTAACACGAGGCTAAAGATTTAACCTCATGATGTAAACCAGGAAAGGAGGGGACAGCCCCGGTCAGCCCTTTCCATTCAGTGTATCAGCTTTCCTGACCAATTAATATGATTCATTGTGGTTGTAGTCACTGTGTCACTGGGGAAATGGAAACTGAGAAACTGTAGTAGATGACATGCCTGTTATAAGTCTTTGGTGCTCCAGTTTTTGGCCGTAGTTTAACAGCTTCAACTTTGAAACTGATACAGAGAAGACTAGTCATCTTAAGCCGTATCATCTTGTAGCTGGTCAAAGACAAAGTGTTTGCTCATCGTGGTCTTGTCATTGCAGAAAAAGACCCGTTATTTCCTTGAGCTTATGTGAAATGATGTCAGTTTTGACTCAAACTTAAAGACAGTTTTGTTACTTGTGGAATAAAGCAAGCATTCATACATGATAAGTGTGAAATTGGATTGGACACATATTAAAACATATCAAATGCAGCCTTTGACAAACAGACTAAACAACATCACATGTTGAGCTTTGTGTGGAAGCATAGACTTCCTTGAGTAAATATTTTTTAAGGACATGCAGGATGTAAATTTTTGTTTCTTTACACATCACAGTTCAGCATTTGTGCACTGAAGCATCAATGATGCTGTTTGTCTGTGCACTTTACAGCTGCAAGATGCTCACAAAACTAAGTTAAATGTGCAGTTTGGTTATATTAAAGTTGCAATATGGATTGCAAATCACAGCAAATAGCAGTAGTTCAGACATTCTACAAATTAATGCAGAATGTTTTTACTTATCACAGTTGAGCATTCGTGGCAGCATCAGTGGTGCTGAATGTCTTTGCTCTGCAGCTGCCAGATATTAAAAAAGTCAAGTTAAAGAAGCCCTTTTTACACATTGATCCTACAATAGGTCCACAACGAAGTCCCTATATTACGCCGGCTTTGCTCTTTACACTAGAACCAAACAACCTCAGCATAATACCGCCCCAGTGTGTGATTTCAGATAGCATGCCAGCATTCCGGAAGCTAAAGAGGTGCAACAGGTGTGATGTAACACAACAGCGTTGGCCTCTAATGTGACATATAACATTTCAAAGTGTTGGGCACTTTCTGAAGAATAAGAACAACATATCAAGGCAATAACAATCGTTTACCATCCTGTCATATAGGGGTTAATCTCGTACTCTGCTCAGACAGCAAGGACTTCCAATTTGTGGACATTTTCAGTTGCTTTTTAAATCTCCTGGCAGTGGGTTGCACACATAACATATTGTCAAAACATGGCACCAATGTTGTCGGGCTGGCTGTCTGTTTCACACAGACATGGATTCAGCCCTGTTACTTCCTCTGCTGCCGGCCTAAAGGTGGGACAACTCTGTCCCCCGAGTTCACAATCATATCTTAAATACAGAATGATGAGGCGGGATAGACCAGAGGCTAGAGATACACCACGAATAGTTCAAGTTGAAGCAAAAGAGTTGAGTGTCAAAAACCCTTCATTTTTCAGAGTACATGCTTTCATTAGAACCTCCCTCCCTGCCTCATGATAAACACCCACATCTTTCAAACTCCACACCCCAAGTTTGTCACACAAGTTCAAGCCAGAACCCCACTTTAGAGAGTTCTCAAAAGAGCCACAGAAGACATCATACAACTGAGTCCACTGGATATATAGTAAACATTATGATAACTGCACTGAACTTTAGGGTAAAATTGTTGGAATGCTCCTTTAATTGTGCTGTTTCTTGACATTACAGTTCACAAAAAATACTACTTAAAATGGATTCATGGTAGAAATGAAATCCTAATGCTGAGAAATTCTCACAGTGTGAACAACACAAGCACCATCTCTGACTTGCAGCTTGGTATGTAGGCCAGCAGTCCTGCACAGCCAAGCATATGTTGTCCAGTAAGCTGTTTGAGATGTCCCTAAACAGCAAAAACTGCAATCTCTTGCAATTTAGAAATCGCTGTCGTGGATGTAAGGCTGTTTTGTTTGTTTATTTTTGTTTTCTATATTTTCCTGCAGCTGCTACTCCATGTTTCATACTGCATATTGCAGCGTCAGTAGTAGGTGTCTGTGTGTGCACATGAATGAACGTGCTTTCAACAGATGGCCTTTTGCTCCGAGCCCTCTGGAGGAATCTCTCCTCCTTCCTGAGGCTGTTATCGCACAACACATCTGCTGCTCTGATTCCCACTAAAAGAAACACAACTAAAAGCTGTCGTCTCCTCGCCCGGCCGAGGCTAACCAGCGCGGCAGTACTCCAGGTCAGGAGCTTTTAGCCGTACGGATTGCTTCTGGATTAGTTACGCGCTGCCAGAGGAGGTGAGACACGCAGTGATGTGGTTGTTTTCACTTTGTCTTTCCATGCTCTAGTCTTCATATGATTCTCTTTCTTCTGTTTTGCCCTCTAACCACTACTACCAGTAATCATCTCCTCCACCACCACCACCTACCCCCTGCTACGGCAGGCTGTTATCAGAGCCCAGTGTCGCCCCTCCAGGCAGCGCTCTTTGGACTTCTTTTTATGAGCGAGCAGTGTTGGGAACAGCCCACAGAGATCAAACATAATGGCTCAGTTTGAGGCTCGGCTCTTTGCCTCAGCCTGTTTTGATGTGAGGTGGCTCTAAAGAAAGTGTCATCACCACAGTTTTTCTGGTTTAGCCACTTTTTGCATCTTTGTAACTGTCAGAATGCCTGTTACTGAGCAGCAGTTTGACACACTCAATAGTTTCTAAATATACCAGGTTAAAATAGGAGAAATAGCCTACATTTGACAGTTGTGTATTTCTATAGGTTATCATGGAAAACTAAACTTAAGCTTTAGTTTGTCTTAAAGCATTATGAGTTGTAGCTTGTGTCAGCTCAGTCAACCTAAACAAACACTAGCCAGCAGGCTAATTAAATAAAACAGCCATACTGGTGCTAATGCTTATTAGCTTCTGCTGAATACATTTCAGGAATAATCCACTAAAATGTTTTTAGTATCAAACATTCATGGCACGTAGGCTTGAGAGGTGAAGTAAGGTCACATTTAATAACTGACGCACCTAGCAGTTGCTTTAGAAGTTAACCTGCTAGCTAGTTAGCTGCCTAGCAAAGCCAAATAAACAAAGCCAAATTGCTAAAAGGCAGCTAACTAGCCAGCAAGCTAATTAATTTAAGAAAGTAGTTGGTGCTTTTGATGCTTATGGGAGTTTCTACTAAATACACTAAAAAATGATTCCACGAAATCTTTTAATCATCAAAACAGTTGAACAAGTGCCCCACCAAAATTTTGCAGCTATGTTAGCTTGTTTCTGCAAAGAAACATGCTAACATAGCTGCAAACTTTTGAACTGTTTTGATGATTAAAAGATTTCATGGAATCATTTTTTAGTGTATTTAGTAGAAACTCCCATAAGCATCAAAAGCACCAACTACTTTCTTAAATTAATTAGCTTGCTGGCTAGTTAGCTGCCTTTTAGCAATTTGGCTTTGTTTATTTGGCTATGTTAGCTTGTTTCTTTGCAGAAAAAGTTAGCTGTAGCCTACTTTGAATTTGCAATAGTAGCAGCAAAATACAGCAAAACTTCACAAACTACATTTGAATGATAGTTTCATTTCCTCTCTGTCTGTTTACATGTTCAGCATGTGCTAAACATTTACATTTTTGCCAAAGTATGGCTAAATACACAGCTTCTCTTAGTTGGTAGTGCAGTTAGCTGTTAGCATTTGTCATTTCTGATCAAGCAAACATACTTAAATGCTAAACAAGTGAACAGTTTAGTTTCCTGGAAATTACTAGAGACTTTTAGCCATATTTTAGCATATTTATTCTGAGCCGTTGTTAAAGCCTGCAGGAAATGAGTTTTATACAACACAGATAATAGACTGGTGCAGGAATGAGTCATAAAACACGGAAATTAGTTAGCATTTTAGCGCTTCCGTTTCCCTTGTCTTGAAGTCGATGTTTTTTTAAAATGAGCTTTTTTTTTTCGTTCGATGCCTAAAATATGATCTGTAGATGGTTAACACAAGCTTAAGAGACTTTCACATTTTGTTTTATGACATAAAACGCGTCAATAAATGCCCTGCTTGTAAATTCTGAAGCCTTTATGTGATTTATTAAAGGCTAAATGAGACTACAGAATGTCATTATGTTGAACACAGCTTTACATTCTTGCTGTAGATGCAACGTTAAGCCACATGACCTAGTGTAGTTTGTTCATCACCAACTTGAGTTTTTTACTTCTGCCGATTGCATTTACACCGCAAAAATCATAGAAGTGGTGTTCATTTGTTCTTGTTGAACAAAATGTCTAAATATCATAAACGTTTGTTTGCCACAGATCTTATTTTCTGTAGTAATCAAAAATCCAATAGAAAAATCCCATTGGCTTTTTGCCATTGTGACGCTAACTTCGGTGTTTGCCTACAAAAAAAGAGAAAACATCATCAGAAGCTATCCAAAAAATCAGCATTAGCTACATTTTTATATAATCTCTAGATGTTATTTATTGTGCAGTTTGAAATTTTCACAAGCAAACTATTTTCTCAGTGACAAAGGCAGAAATTAGACAGTGTATTGTTGAATATGCCAAGTATATTCTATCAAGCTGGCCAAATTCAGAAATGTAGTCAGCTGTTCACTCTCTGTTCTCGGAGCCTCCAATATGGCTGCTGCAGGATGGGTTACATCATCACAAATCCCCTCAGAGAGAGCGTGGTATCTGGGGAATGAGAGTCGTGGTGGGAAAAGGATGTCTTGGCTGCTCCATTGGCCCGAATCCACCACAAACCTGACCTGGATACAGAGCTGGAAGATGGATGCGAATGTGATGCGATATTAACAGTAACTGGGTTCCTCTTCCATCTTTTTTTCATCTTCCTTTTTTCTCTAATCCCTTTTTGTGCACAGGCCCAGGACAAGAGGAAAGCTCTGGAGGAGACCAAAGCCTACACCACCCAGTCCCTGGCCAGCGTGGCCTACCAGATCAATGCCTTAGCCAATAATGTACTGCAGCTGCTGGACATCCAGGCCTCGCAGCTGCGGCGCATGGAGTCCTCCATCAACCACATCTCCCAGGTCAGAAATACACACAGATACACACACACACACACACACACACACACACACCACAGACCATACAGCTGTGAAGAATGGTGCTCCGCACTTGCCACTTCTCCTTTCACTTTTACACAGACTCTGTTATTTTCAAACACAGTATGAGTCCTTCTGTAATATCCATGGTTCCTTTTATTGGTGTATCAGTCTTACACAAGTGTCTGACTGTCTGTGTGTTTGGCCAAATGACTGCGAGTCTGTTTTTCTTTCTTTTGTGCCCTTGTCTTCTTCAGAGGAACACGAGCATTATGAAACATTTCACCACAATCCATCTAACTTGCAATTATTGGTCTGCACAACTGATTACTGAGCAGCCCTAACGCACATAGGGACATACTTATAGGTCTGTCTTTTAGCCAGTAGTAGCATCTTATATATAGAAAATGACTATATTGCAAACACATTAGAAATTGTCACATCTTTTTTTTTTTTTTTTTTTTTTTTTTTTGCCACCAGCATGATTCTCACTTTGACCTTTCAGTTCTCCCACTGTCTTATGGCTCTCTCCCTCTCAGACACACAAAAAAACAAGACTCACAAGCATGATTCATCTCACACACACCCCACCCATCAACATCACTCTCTCTCCTAGGTCATATAGTGTGTTAGCAGGCGAGGCATGTGTTTTTGTACCTGCACATATTGCGACCGTGGAGCACCAGTGTGACTTGCAAAGATTATTAATATGTGAACTAGAGAGTTGTTGGTTTGTTTTTCGGCTAACAGTGAATAAATCCTTACGTTTAAAGGCACTGCGGTAACAGTTTAACTTTCTCCTAACCATTAACTTCTAACTGTTGACACACTTCCAGCCTGAGATGAGCTGTATGCTTCAAACTAAAAGCACCAGTGGTTCTGCTTTGATTTATTTCAGTGCAATGGTACTTTATTTAACTTTATTATAATAGTACTTTATTTCACTTTATCATAAAAGGCCTTTATTTGACTTTATTGTAACAGGACTTTATTTAACATTATCATACAAAAATAGGTACTTTTTTAACTTTATTGTAACTGTATTTTATTTTGTAGTTTGGTATTTTGGTAGTCTACAGTAGTTCAGAGAAGATTTCAAAATATCGGGAGATACCTACAGTGTATCATGATATAGCCTAAAAATACTGCATTATCATGTAGGCCATGTAACCCAGCTCTAGGCTTATGATGGGCAAAATATGAATAAACTGTCAAAGGTTTTGCTGCACCCTTAATACACTGGAAGCTACACTAGGTGGTTGAATTAGGGCATCGTGGGCAGAGTTTTTAGAAATCAAAGAGCATATAATTAATGCATTTATGTGATGACATATTTAGATTTTTCAGCTATTGAATCACCTAAAAAAACAGACATTCCTGTCTAGTTATTTTAATCATTACCAATTTCTCAACTGAATTTCCAGAAAATGTATTATATCATGCTTGAGGATATACCCTGATAAATATCTGTAATGCTCACTTCTGTATCACGTCATTCCTAACTTCAACATGTATTGAAAATTGTGGCTTTGTAGTTTTTCCTTTCCTAACCTTTTTCTTTCTATAACATGAGGATTCTGCCATGTGCAGGTAAATCCAGCCGCTCATCCAATGAAGGCATTAAGAGCTCAGACAAATCAAACAAAGAGCTCCAGCCATGTGGCACCTCGTAGATTAGGAGTGGGTGGCATTCACCAAACCTGGAACACATGTATAACACAGTCATGGCTGAATCCGAACTTAGAAAATAAGCGAAAAAAGGAGAGGTATTTGCTGTTTATTTTTGCTGTGATGGAATGGGAGGAGTATTTCTTTTTAGTTTTGTCTTTCCCATGTCCGCTATCCGGTGTTTTTCCTCTGACAGAGCTTTGCTAAGAGCGCCAGAAATTCTTTCAGGATACACTGAAGGTCAGATTTTCAGTCTAATGGAAGCAAAGAGGACTTGTGAGACTTGAGGGCTTGAGAGAGAGAGAGAGAGAGAGAGGGATCCCGCAATTCAGAGGAAAGGCTGAAGGAAATGGAAGATGGATGATGACGAGCAAAGAAAGGCGAGAGAGAGAGAGAGAGAGAGAGAGAGAGAGAGAGAGAGAGAGAGAGAGAGAGAGGCCAAAAAAAGGCATATTTACTCTCCAGGTTTTGAGTCAATATCCTGACAAACAGCATTCAGCCGATACCAAGGTCACTGCCTGCCTTGGTCTCCATGACAACCCCCTGGGCCATGTCGGAAAAGCATATGAACACAGTTAGATACGGTGCTTTAGATCACAAGAAGAGAGCCAGCGCCACCCGGTAAACTCCAAGCTGGCTTACATTGTTTGACTTCTGTCTCTGTTGCAAGTGCTCATCACCCTCTCTTGTCTCATGCATGGGAAATTCCATCCTTCCTCTGCTATATTTATGCCAGCGTTTGTGTACTTGGCGTAGCCATGGTGATGGTGAGCTACATGGTGTCACGTTAGGTCAGCTGATGGTCAGTAAAGAAATGTTTTTCCCCAACTTTTTGGTTTCTATCTGGAATAAAAAATCAAACTACAAACTAATTTACTTCCACTTTGTAGTCATCGCAGCTACAAGAAAAACACGCCATCCCTATTTGCATAACTTGTCCCTGAGAAATCTGAATGATTTAGCAGCTTTGCCTTGATAACTCTAAAAACTCTAAAAACACAGAATGTCCCTTGCATGCTCAACATCTTCATCTCCATCTAGTTGTTTTATGTAAAAGCAAAAGGCGAGGTCCTAATGTGTTTTCCGTAATGAAGCGTATCTCTGTTTTAATAATAAAGAGACCGGGCTGCGAGCTCTGCAGGCCGTGTGGGTGTTTTTTATTGCTCTCCACCGTCCGGTTCAGAGGTGGATCATTATCGTGTTGCCCTCGCTACTCATGGATATGATATTAGCGGCGGCCCTCGAGGCCAACGTTGCGTTCTGCTGAATGTGTAATGGAGAGAAAAGCCTGCAGCTCCAAGGATATATGTTGATTTAACAGTGGAAAGGAAGTTTTCTCAGGTGAATACCAATGAAACACAAGCATGACTCCTTTATCCTCGAGACACGAATAATAAACACACCTCAGAATTTACTAGGCTATACATAATCATACCAGCTTTTTCTTTTCTGTCCACAGTCCTCCTGTTAATGGTGTAGTCCAGTTTCTGTCCATCCCTGAAGCTGGGATGCTTCATGACGAGGCTCTCTTACATTAAGTTGTCAGTCAGTGTGTGGTGAGACATTGCCTGGCGTCAGGGCAGTTTCCTTCAGCTCGCCCACAGTTACAAGGGGTTCACTCTGGTCAGGGTGTGTCAGCTTAGCGGTGGCATCTCTCCGCCTGGAACTGGTATCCCTCTGAGCTGGATGTCAAGTGTGCTGTGCTATATTGTACCCTAATAGAGCATACCTTATCTTGTATTCTGCCTGTGGTGGAAGACACAAAGGGTGTCTTTTTAAAGGGGTAAAAAGGGAACAACTAAGATGCGCCAAAATCATAAGAGTAGTTTGAATCTTTTAAATACCTTTAGCCATTAAAAGACTTCTGTATTTTTTGAATGTTGTGTTAGAAAAGTGCAATTAAACAACTGTAAGGCTGCAACCAATGCTTAATTTCTTTAACAATAATAATGACTCTTTATATAGCACATTTAAAAACATGGTTTACAAAGTACTTTGTCAGACAAAGCAAAAGCAGTAACAGGATACCTAAAAGGCCAAACAGTCCTACCAAACATAAGCCAGACAAAGCGAGTTAAAAAAAAAAAAAAAAAAAAGGCAAGATGCAATGTGTGAATGTAAATAAATACAAACAAAAAATGAGAGCAATAAAAAGAAGAAATAAATGAAATCCAAAAAAGACAACATCACATAAAAGTAAGTTTATAAAGTTGGGTTTTAGTGATTTTACAGAAGTTACTGACTACCCAAATGTTACCTCCTCAGACAGGTCGTTCCAAGACGAGAAGCCCTGATTGCAAAAGCATGGTCACCTTTAGATTTCAGTCTGGACTTCAAAACAGCCAGAAAGGCCCCACTTGAGTGTCAAAAGCTGCGAACTGGCTCATACAAGGTCAACATTTCTGCTGTGTAGCTTAGTGCCAGACCTAGACAAGCTTTAGAAATGATCGATAAAATCTCTAAATCAATTCTAAGGCGAACAGGAAGACAGTGAGCACATTTACATGCGCACAATAATCAGATAACTGGGAATAATCAGGTAATGGTAATAATCCAATTTGACGCGTTTACATGCACTTCAATAATCTGATAATCAGAAAAACCTAGTTTACAAGATTCAGTCCTTAAGTTGGATTTCTCCTCAAGTACATGACATAAAACTCAAACTTCCTGTTACAGTAGGTACTCATATCCTTGAAAAACCTCAAAAAGTACGCAAGTCATATATTTGCAAAATAAAGCACTCATCATGCTGACAGCTTATATTCTTACAGTACTGTTTGTTGAGCCAATTTTACATACTTTGGGTACATTCGGAGTAAAAGTACTGCAAAGTGCCATATACAAGTGTATTGTATATAAACTTGTCACACAAAGTGCATAACATATAAATAAGATAAAATAAAAGTGACAATTTAAACACTGAGAATATAAAAATATATTATTTTATATAAAATCTTTATCTGAAAGGAAACAAAAGATGTCAGATTAACATAGTGGAGTAGAAAGTACAATATTTCCCTCTAAAATGTAGTGGAGTGGGAGTATAAAATAGCAAAACCCGAAAGAAACCAGATTAAAGGGTATACATGCACCGAATAATCTGACTATTGGGGAAAAAGCTAGATGTGTTTATCTGATTTCTCATAATCAGGTAATGGCTTTTATCTGATAAAGCCTATTGGATTATGCTGTTTACATGACCACTTGAATAATCAGGTAACTCCAGAAATCAGATAATGATCGGTTTATTAGTGTGCATGTAAACGCGCTCACTGATGAGAAGCTAGAATTTGGGTGATGTAATGTCTACTGTT